TGGAGGGAGCGCGGAGCAAGAAACTAGAAGACCAGGAGTACATCAACAAGGAGATTTTAATAATATAATCCAACACAAGGGAACCAGGAGAACACACGTATCTGATGAGGCTGACATAAACAATACCGGACACCGAATGGACGTAGTAGACAGGCTTATAAAGAAGCACAAATGATAAGACTAAATTAATACGGCTGGAGACAAATCAACATAATCAGACCAGGAACAGGAAGAACCAAATAAGGGCAAAAGGAAACACATGGGAAAACCAAGGCATGGAACACAAGGGGAGCAAAACACGGAACAGAGTCTGACAGTGGGTAAGTTTCCTAAAAAAGCAATATTTTGAACAAAAAGCTGAGATACAAAATTGGATTCAGAATGATGATCAAAACATAGATTGATTAGATCATGTTCATCAACACCCCCAAGCTTGCATAGTCCTAAACCTCTGTGTGTGTTTGACATTTTGTTCAGTAGCTTTAGCCAGTTTTAATTTATATGCTGTTGAACGTTTGATGATCACATTAGCTTACATGCGCATAAGCAATGTTTCTATCGCTGGTTTCTGCTTCTTCTTTGGCTGTTTTTGGATCTTTGCTTATTTTTGGATCCAGAGATTCTGTATTATTTCAGAAGATGCGTAATAGCACCACCTAATGAATAAAAGTGAAAACATTGATTTCCGGAAAATTCTGTCAGTGCCAGGGTAGCGTTGTATCATACATGATGGAAAATTTTGTCAATGACGGGGAGAGAGTTAAAATCTGCCACGTGACATGCAATACCGAATGAACTGTTAAATAATGTTAGTTAAAGGGGTCATATGATGCTATTTTAAAGATCATTATTTGGTGTATTTGGTGTAACAGAATATGTTGACATGCTTTAATGTTCAAAAAACACATTATTTTTCAAATACTGTACATTATTGTAGGTCCTCTATGCCCCGCCTCTCTCAAACACGTAGTTTTCAACAAAGCCCCCTCCTTTGACAAGCGCAGTCTGCTCTGATTGGCCAGCTGACCCAGTGCATTGTGATTGGCCGAACACCACAAGCACGCGTCGGAAATGTAACGCCCCTTACCATAATCGCTTCAGCTTTCAAAGTAAATATCAAGACAGTTAATAATGTCGTTAGTTTTACCATCAGTTCAAGCCCGAAAGGGCAACAGAGTCGCGTGACAGACACAGTGATGATGCAGTACACAAGCCGCGGTTAAGACAGCTGACGTGCTATGATTTCTGACACAGTTCACTCTCCTGTGATGTGACCCTGTTCCCCTCACACACACACACACATACACACGACGCGCTACTCTGCACTGCGCAAAACTCCGCATTTGAACAGTCAATAGCAAATACTTAAACTAATAACAAAACATACTTACAGTCGCTGATTCAGAAGCACCAGATTGTCATAGCAAAGTCGGAATTGACCCTTTTTTTTTAGAAATAGCCTTTGTGCACAGCCAGCCTTGTACTCTTCTAGGTTCAAAAAACTGTCGTCCATAAAATGCGTTGCACAAATTCGAACATCTGGGCTGTGCTGTTCTGTTGTAAATAAATCTTAACCAATGATTCCTAATCGCATCTACTTCCGGAAGGCCAAATAAAGTGCTTTTGCTTTCGCACTGAAACACACACCATCTCCCTGACATGGCTGCATCAACACTACTGCTGTTCCTGAAACCACGCCTTCTTTCTTTGCGTGCACATTTGGGCGGCATTATGCTAATATTTCCACATAGTGGCGTAGATATGTGGGGGCGTGTTAGAACGAGGCGTTTTAGGTAGGCGTGGTTGACTCTTAACTTTTATAAAGAATATCTCTTTGGATTTGAGACTTTAGTCTTTGCAACTTTACAGATCTTCTTTATACACCAAGAGCTTCTAACACTCCAAAGAGAAAGGAAAACTTGAAATCGCATCATATGACCCCTTTAAGTTGGCCTTTGGATGAGCTCGTCACCACATACCTTTTGTACTCATGGTTACAGGTGATAATTTTATCAGAGCGAATGTAATCAACAATGTCTGATCTCACCCCCTCAAAAATAGAAATTATATGAATATCCATAAGTTTTGTCTTTTGAGCAAGTCTTCAACTGTTATTATGGCTTATCGGAAATAAATGTTTTAAAATTAACAATGTTACAAAAGTTGCTGCTTTTGTTAACAAAAGTTACAAATGCTGACATCTGACATAACAGTTGCTAGATATTTTATTTGTCAAACACAAAAAAGTCTATCTCTGGTTGGTTTAAAATCCTTTAAATCTCTGAGTTGTCACCATCTCTGAAATGCCAGTCCGATGTTTTATTGCAAGCTCTGTCTGTCACTTCCCTTTTTGCTTGTAAGATCTTTTCTGAACAAGGTTTCTTTGTTGAAACAACAGATGATTCCTCAGATGGTTGTCTTCTTGAACAATTCATTGTGTTGATGTTGCTCATTAGTTACGGCTACAAGCTGTCAGAAATATTAACACACCTCTGATCGCTCCATGCATGCGCTCTGATAGCTGGACCTTCTTCTCTTTGTTTATAGATGTTGACATTACGACACAAATACGAATGACGTAAGACTGACATTTCCTGCAAAAAATCTGACCCGACAGCTCAAATTATAAATAATTATTATAAACTTACCTTTTTGAATTTGAAGGCAAGGAGACAATTTTGAACACTTTTTTTATGTACTTATTTCATAATTGATTCCTGTTCACCAATATCTGTGGCACAATGATACAAATGACTAGCAAATGACTAGTAACAATAACAAATTAGTATCAAAATGTTACCTCAAATTATTTATTATTTATGTAGAATTGTGATGGTGTTAACATGGATATGATTTGAAAATACAGTACTAAAATATATTTACGTTGTAAATATATTTTATAACACAGTTATGTTGTAACAACTCTGGAATTTTCTCCTCTGAAATATTGATTTTCACTAATGATGCGTATCTTCATCTCACCCCCCAACTGTGTCAGCCGGTGCTTCTCCCTACGTGTCTACGTGTTTCTACTTAGTGGCACTTCTCATTAATCCCGGGCCTAATGCAGCACCAAGATCCCTATAACATGATAAGACACTGAGCCTAGATAGATTAGGGTCTACTCCCCGCTCCCAGAGCTCATTCGATACCAAGCAGACCCCATGCTCACAGAGGGAGAGAGTCAAGACAGAGAACCTGTAGAGTTGTTAAAGGCCAGCTTTGATTATAAATGGCACTCTGTGGACAGAGGATGGCCCCCGGATAAGGTGATAAAGCGAGGGTGTAACTTTAGATAATGTATCTGAGTCTGTGGACTTCCCTACCCACACTATCTTTCTGCAAATTATTTTCCATTATACTGCTATCGATCGGCTAGAGGTAATGGCCATTGGAATCATAACCTGAGGTATAACTACATTCCAGTGCAGGAAATGTTGATTGGAGGAAAGGAACAGAAGCGCTGAGGAAACATTTTCTGGGTTTCAGCTTTGAAAAGGCTTTGTATTTTTGTTTCACCAGGGACTGTAGAAAGAACAGTTTAATCTCTCTCTCTCTCTCTCTCTCTCTTTCTCTCTCTCTCTCTCTCTACAATTGTAGCATAACTATGGTGGCTTGGGGTGGGACATATCGAAGAGCTTGGCCAATGACGTTCAGTTTGTCCTAATCTCAGAGTTCAGGGTGGGTCTGTCTTGAAAGGTGTATATGTTAATGTTAAAAACAGTTTCTTTCTGGAAAATGTATAGGATTGTTTACTTCTGGAAACCTACTGCTATATTGGCACATCTCTGCAACACAGATGATTAGGAAGCGTGGGATAATTGGGGTTGATGGTAGGCCGGTGCTGATCCAGGCCAGATTATAGGTAGAGAAAATAAATGTGATAATGTTAGTGTCGCTGAAATAAACTCTTTCCAGAGTTCATCACGCTCTCTCTCTCTCTGCAGTCGCTGCAGTTAGTATAAAGGGCACCTGTGTTGATTTACTGTCAAATCTTCCAGGATTATCTGTAATCCTGGAGCTTCAAAATCTGTTTGCTGACAGCTGTGTTCTCTAACAGAACTGCTGTTTGCTGTGCACATAGTGTCCTATATAGCAGCAAAAGCTCTTTCTTTAAGGAGGAAAGGAAGGAAAAAGGCTTTTAATTTTCTGCTTGAGTGAATTTCAATTTACAGTTCTTCTCGGTTTGTATTGTGTTGTATTTGGCTATAATGCATAGCTGACTCTATATATGAGTCTTTGCCTTGGTAAATGGGCACAATATCACAGCACATCCTTTGAATGTCTTCTAATGTATTCTAGTGTATCGCGGATTTTGCTTTTCAATAGCTGTTATTTTTACCAATACGTCCAGGGCATATACTGTAATTTATAAAAAGGACTTAGACAATGTTCCAGTTGTTTTTTTCTTTCTTTCAAAAATAATACTTGTATTGTTTCCCATTTTACACACAAATGTACAGTATGTATACATTGCCATTTATTATTATTATTATTATTATTATTATTTGAAAACTTTACAAAAGAAGACAGGAAACTAGTGAAAACAAACTAAAAGTCCATTATAATGAAACTAACTAAACAGAACCATGACATTATTATTATCATATATAATTATTATTATTTATTTGTTTGGTTGTTTAAAATACTATTAATTTATATTTTGTTATGCCTTGATAAATATATTATATACAGGGGCCACACAGTTGTCAATATTTGTATATTAAGGATACTTAAAAATGCCTAAAATTCATTGTATCACAAACAACATATAAAAAAAACATAATCTTTTCTGTAGTGAACAAATTTATCTGATACATTTTTCCAATGACTTCTAACCAGATGGATTTAATGGATTAAGTACCCCTTGATTTAGCATAACCACAGGTGTTTACTTTAATATAGTCTAAATCAAAAAAAAAAAAGGCAAAGGCTGCTCTAATTTTTAGTTTGTCCTATACTCATTTGCAATTGCCCATGATGTGTTTCTCCAATTCTAGGTGGTCTACAAAAACAATGACATACGACTGGAACTCTCTCGCCTGGCCCGCATCGCAGACCCCAAAATGAAGCTACAAGGGGACGTGGTGTTTAAATGTGAGAATGTCCCCACCCTAGACCCTATCTCTTTTGAGACACCAGAATCCTTCCTCAGCCTGCCCAAGTGGAACACCAAGCGTGTGGGCTCCATTTCCTTTGACTTTCGCACCTCAGAGCCCAACGGACTAATCCTTTTTACGCAAGGTAAGCCCCAGGACAAGAAAGATGCTCGTAGCCAGAGGAGCAACAAAGTGGACTTCTTCGCTGTGGAACTTCTAGATGGAAATCTCTATCTTCTGCTGGACATGGGATCAGGAACTATTAAAGTCAAAGCCACACAGAGTAAGGTTAATGACGGAGCATGGCACCATGTGGACATCCAGAGAGATGGAAGATCAGGTGAGCAGATTAATTTTCTCCAGAACATCAGGGATCTTAAAAGTAAAGTGTTGTTTTGCACCAAACTTAGCAAAGAACTTGAATCCTTCAGATCTGCATGACGCTCAATGAGTTTGTTTGATAAAATATTGTTTAAATGAATCATTTTTCCAAAGCACTAAAGTACTTGAGGATGTGCCATGTTGTGATTTTTTTTTTGTTTTGTGTCATGCCTAACGACACCCTTTAGACGACTATATTCACAATATTTTTTGCTTAACTGTGAAGCTTAACAAGTTTCAATTTTGGCATCAGACTGTCAAATTTGTTAGAGTTTTGGTGTAACTTCTGCAAAGTTTTAAAAAGACATCTAAATTGCCAACAAATTGTCTGTAAAAAGAAGTCAATAATGTAGCACTTTCATCTACGAAAATAATACAATTCTCAATTGTAACTTAATGACATCATTCCTTTCTAAACTTCTCTGTATTAAGCACTCATATTAGGCTTGATTCTAAATCATTTTCACAGCAGACAACAAAGTGAACAAAGTGACTTCAATAAAAAGTCATCTAGCATAATAAATGTATGGATTTTTTTTTTTTTTCTTGAGCACAGGATAAATCTTCTGTGGAAGACTACAATGCGGATTTAGAGCTTTCATCATTGTGTTGTCACAAACTTCACATCTGAGAATGGACACTTCTCCATATTAAAGTCACAAGAGGGTGGCTCTTATTTTATGCCTCTGGTCATGTTATACAGAGCAGTCCAAAAGTCTGAGACAGCGCTTAAAATCTGACATTTCTTTCATTTAAATGAACAGAAAGCTTTTGGGTTATGAACATTTTTGAACAAATATATACATACATGGTTAATGGTCGCATTGGCATGCTGGTAAACAAATCAAATATTTCAAATGTAAAAATTTAGATAAGTTAGGTCATAAGTAATCTAAAAGTAATCCAAAAGTAGTCAGAATACATTACGTTAAAAGAGTCATCTAAATTACATTACTGACTACAGTTTTCATCATGTGATAATTTGTAATCAATAACAGACTACAATTTGTAAGAAATTTTCCAGCACTATACATGTAGGGGCAGCTTTTTTTAATTAACTTATAATTTTAATTTTATTTAAAATTAAATCAGCATCAACCAAAGCCATCTGTACATTTCAAAGCTGGACATGACATTTATGTTTATTTACACAGACTGTTCATAATAATGTAAATAATAAAAAAAAAAAAGCTTGATGCTGAAATAATGCTTGCTTTTCACATTTCATTTTAATAACAACAGTCGGAATAGTTTTGGTGAATAGGTTGTTTCGTCTGTTCATGGATGGTGATTGGCTCCTTGTCTGATTAATAGCCATCATACAACTTGTATTTCTCAGCAAAAAAGGGCAGAGACAAATATATAGACATGTGGGTGTTGAGAGACCAAGAATACTCGTATAATAAAGACCAGTAGAGGAACTCAGAATGCCTCCTCAATCTGCCAGTGCCTCCACACTGAACTATTGATGTTTCTATTCTGAAACTCCTGCCTGCCTGTATCCTTTAGTACATCATTGTGTCAGAGCACTTTAACACAAACACACACAAACACACACACACACACACACACACACACACACACACACACACGTCTGGTTTACTATCCTTGTGGAGACTGCCCATAGGCGTATTGTTTTTTAAACTGTACAAACCATATATTCTATCACCCTACACCAACCCTATATCTAAACCTACCCCTCACAAAAAAAAACTTTCTGCATTTTTACATTCTCAAAAAATTTAAAAATTAAAAAAAAACATTCTGTATGATTTATAAGCTTGTTTCCCCATTGGGACCTAAATTTAGGTCCCCACAGTGACACAAGTCCCCATGAGTCGGTGTATATTCAGGTTTAAGTCCCCACCGGAATAGAAAAACAAATGTGCATATCTGTATATTTCTATATTTATTACATTGTTTTACCTTGATTCTCATTGGTTAGCAGCATTCTGTGGTGAAATATATATATTTTTTATTTATAATGGCTACTTTTATAATGACTGAGTACTTATTTCTGTGTGTATTTTTTCAGCATGTCATTATTATCTTCTTTTGGCTGAGCTTATCTTGTCCTTCTTGATGGCCTGTTGTTGTTTTGAACAGGTATCATCTCTGTGAATAGCCGTCGGACTCCATTCACTGCCAGTGGAGAGAATGAGATTCTAGACCTGGAGGGTGACCTATATCTCGGAGGTCTCCCAGACAACCGTGTCGGCCTGGTGCTTCCCACCGAACTGTGGACCGCTATGTTGAACTATGGCTATGTGGGCTGCATCCGTGATCTTTTCATAGACGGTCGCAGTAAAGACATTCGCCAGATCGCAGAGGCACAGAACGGAGTTGGAATCAAGTCATCCTGCAGCAAAGTAACAGGCAAACAGTGTGACAGCAACCCCTGCAAAAACAACGGCATCTGCAAAGAGGGCTGGAATCGGTTCATCTGTGACTGCACCGGTACCGGATACTGGGATCGAACCTGTGAGAGAGGTGAGTGATGCTATTGTTAGTGTTGCGTAACCTGACTTTCTGCCTGTTTTTTTTTTGTCTGTGGATGGACCGTGATTTAATATAAGGTGATTTAATAATAAAATATCTGAACTTACACCAATATGATTCCCCTGCGAATGCCATCTTCTCACAAGATGCAGGAATTCATTCAACGCAATCCTCACAGTGCATTATAGGTATTCTCTAGCCATGTAAACCAGTTGTACAGTAATTATTGCGGTGCATAATGGGATTGAATGGATAATATCCATTATGGCAGTGGTTCCCAACCCTGGTCCTGGAGGCACCCCAACACTGCACGCATGTCTCCTTAATCAAACACACCTGATTCAGGTCATCAGCTCATTAGTAGAGACTCCAAGACCTGAAATTGGTGCGTCAGAGAAAAGAGACATGCAAAATGAGCAGTGTTGGGGTGCCTCAAGGAACAGGGTTGGGAACCACTGCATTATGGTTTCAGCCACCACCAAAATGGCTGTCCCCTGACATAATACACTATATAAGGGCATTGGTTGCAATTTCGGACAAAGACTGATTAATGACTTATCTTTTGGTGGTTTTGTTTGAATGTGTATACATTATTTATATGATATTTAGAATAAAAACTGCTCTGTATGTGTCACGTTCCACACACACGCGAGGGACAAGGAGACGCTGGAGAATATGTTAACAAGACTTTATTTGCACCAAGGAACCAAGGGAGACGAACACAGGAAGACGTTCTCAGGAAGACGTACAACAGCGGACCGAGAACTTGGGACTGGGAACACATTTTATACACACACACAGGAGGAGGGGATGACGAGACACACCTGGGAGCAATAAAACCAAGGGAAACACCTGGGACAAATGAAATAAATTAATCAGGACAGGAACAGGAAACTAACCAAATAAGGGCATGGAAGGCACATGGGGAGCAGGACACACACAAAACATGGAACAGAGTCTGACAATATGCAGTGACCCAAAAACGTTTTCATGCAGGCCACACTTAAAAATGTATGAATGTCTTTGTATTACATTGCAAAATATACAACTGTGTATTTATTTGAAATAGCACAAGAACACTTTTCAAGCAATATTTATTGTCAACAAATTGGTGAATTTGTCAATTCTGTTACAGACAAACTGTGTCACATATTTATATAGGGCTTCATACAATACAGATTATTTCAAAGCTGCTTCACATTAATAAAACAGGGAAATAACAATGTTAATGTGGTAAAATTAATCAATTATAATGCCACTACAAATTGATTAAGTGCTACACTTCAAGTAACAGAAGTATTTAATAGTCTATTGATGTATTATGCATGTGTACAGTGATTAAAGGGGTCATGAACTGCATTTTTTGCATTTGATAATGTTTCCTGAAGTGCACTTACAATTTTAAAGTGAAAAAGTGAAGTGACGTGGCCAAGTATGGTGACCCATACTCGGAATTAGGTGGGAGAGAGCGCTGTACATTCACTCCCCCCACCTACAATCCCTGCCAGTACGAGACTCGAACCCGCAACCTTTGGGTTACGAGTCCGACTCTCTAACCATTAGGCCATGACTTCCCCCATGTTGGTATGGTTTTTACATCAAAAATTGTCATAATTTAGAAATAAAAGGACATTTTCTACCCTGATTTGAACGACTTATTTGAACGCTCGTTTTGAAGGGGCATGTCTGCTGTGAGACTTCAGTGGAATTGCTATGATTGGCAAACATCTTTGCATATGAAATAAGCATTGCATGTGGAGCTCTCTCAAAAACTTTTACTACGTTTTTACTATTACAGCTGTTGAGATGAACTAATCATGGAAAGTTTTGATTATATTTAGATCTACTCCCGTTGCATGAAAGGTTGCAACAATGAGCATTGTAGCCGATGACAGACTGTTATGTGCAATGCAGTTATCTCGTCATTGCAACTCGAGTTTTGCACTTTCACAAATGCTTTCATCATAACTAACTGTGCAAACACGATGTAAATAAGAGACTCATTGTGCCGTGTAGACTGTGTCATTGAATATAAACTCGCACTGTGTGAATGACAGCTCCAGCGATTATAAAGGGACCGTGCTTTGATCGCTTTCTGTATATAATTTAATCACAATTTAAAAAACTGATTATTTTCAGGCTACTAAGAGAAACAATGTGTAGTTGACCGTTAAATTACTGGTTTGATTTATTGACGCTTAAACAGCAATAAATGATTTTGAGACAAAGAACATCTGACTGTACACGAATCATTACATATCAGAAATCACTGATTGCAGATTAGGCATTAGAATTAACACAGTTACTTACATGTTGTGGTATTACTGTCAGGTCCATATCTTACAGTAAAAGTCTGTTGCCTGTGCCAAAACTGCGACTGATTTACCAAAGAATAAATAGTGAAATGTGCGGAGCAAACAAATAATGGTCTGCTCTGCTCTGTTTCCTAGGATTAGGATCCTTTGGAAGATAATGTTATTTTTAGTCCAGTTATCCTGTATTGCTCTTCTCTCTTTCTCATCTCACTATGTTTAATGTACCAGTGGGCGGGGCCAAAGATGCAATGATTCTGCAGAGACGGCCTTTCATCGCACATTATGTGACAAAATCTGAAACGAGTCGTTTCCTGATCTTGGTTTTAATAAACTATGTTTTTGGACTAGCAAGGAAGTTTTGAGCTCTGAAACTTACAGGATGTTTTTATAGTACAATGACCTCTTACATGTCAAAACATCAAGGGAAATTAGATTTCTCAATTCATGACCCCTTTAATTGGATTTTAAGAATCATATGTTTTGGATATGTTTTGCAGATCCATATGAAATTCTTAGCAAAGTCACTAATGACAAGTTTTATTTTTTTTATTTTATTTATTTTTATCATCAACTCCAACCTATGTGGATATAAAATATACCCTGAGAGTATATCAAAAGCACTATTTTGAATCACAATTCCAATTGCAGGCTTTGACCGACCAACCAGATGTTATTTTTTTGTCAGGTTAACCTCAAATTTGCATATATATTTGAATTGAAATCATAACAAAATAAAATAATAATAATTAAAAAAATAAAATAAAAATTCAAAATAAATTCAAAAGATATCATTGTATCAAATTTAGCTGATAATCAATTGAATTTATACTTCTTCACAATAGGTTATTGTTGATCAGATTTTGAAAAATAATAAAATAAAATAAAAATAATAAAAAAAATTAGAGTACTTTTACAATAATGTGTTTAATACCCACTGATAAAATAATATTGAACTATAAGATTATAGTAACATCATGTTGTGATAAACCATTTTTAGTTGCAGTGGGTTGTTTGGTTAGTAACATAGTTGACAGAACATAAGAAAAATAAAACCTGTGTGAACTTGAGGGGAACTAAATTCATACATTTACTAAACAACTAAAAAAATGATGTATATAATGCACATATATATATATATATATATATATATATATATATACACACACACACACACACACACACACACAATTTGTCTTTTAGGAACATCCTATACTATGGGCCAGACTGTATACCCTGAGTCCAACATCCCTCAAGAATGGACAGGTGTCTTTCCTGACAGGACACCCTTCACTAAGGTCTCTAACAAAAAGCCCCACTTCATCTATGTATGGAAAACATGGGGTAAGAGCAAGTTTAAACCTGTATTTTTATTCTAGAATAAAATATATTAACCTACACATTTAGTGGAGAGATGGATTTACATATGCAAATATATATATATATATATATAATTTTGTTTTTGTATATTTTTGTATAATGCTGTGAAATTCATACATTTTTGTGTGAACTAATATCACAAATGTTTTTAGGAGGCACTGCATGTTATTTGGACTGCAGCCCAACTTTTTTACATATATTATGTTTTATTAAATCCTGTCAGACACCCCCAAACCCTTGTAATTCGCACCTCATATATCTTGCTTTCCGCTATACTTGCCATCTACTGCATCTCTAGAATGGTGGTTATTTCAGTGTTAGGGAGAATCAAATAGTCAGTACTGTCTCATTTTTCAAGAAGAGAGCTGCCTAAAAGCAAAGTACACTGTTAAACCTGTAAGATCTTTACAACTTTCAGTGTTAGGGAGAATCAAATAGTCAGTACTGTCTCATTGTTCAAGAAGAGAGCTGCCTAAAAGCAAAGTACACTGTTAAACCTGTAAGATCTTTACAACAAATGAGGGTTAAGGCTCTGTCTTACTGAAATCAGCTTCTCCAACAAAACAAGCTTTTAGATTTTATATCAGTAATGACAGCCTAGATAATCTATGAGCCTTCGGATGTACAGACATTGAGTGGACATCAGTTTCTGCTTTACAGCTGAGAAGGAGATTTTATAGTTTTTGTGTAACATTTCTCGGGAGGTTTAATAGGATTTCTCTTTCACTTCTAGTGACTGTCTGTCTGCGCTGTTCGCTCAGGAGGATCCAAAAGTTAAATTGAACAAGGCTTGGGGCAAGAAAATGTTCCCATGGTGTTCAGAATTAGGAGCAAGCTCACATTAAGTTTTTATGACAGTTTGTAGATAGCTGCTCCTCAGGCTATTGGGGGATGCAATCTTCACGCAGCATGGGCGGATTGCCTTTTTTTATTATTATTCTACAATGATTTTTCAAGGTTTAGCAGATGGTTCAGGCTCCGTTGTGGAAACCACAGACTTGTAAATAATTCTGAACTTGAGGTAACACTTTTTAAAAATCCAGGCAAAATAGTTATGTATGTAAAATGTTAGCATCTGTAGTGTTTTATTTTTATTTGTTTATCTATTTTATTTTATTTGTATTTTATTTTATTATTATTTAATTTATTTATGTATTTTATATTTTTTTGGCATGGGCGCTTTTGGTTCTGTGGATGTTTAGAAAATAAACCCATAAATTTTCACACCCACACTAGTTTAATTTACCCACTAACAATGAGCAGCAGTGGACATACATCACAGAATAATTCTTTAAATGT